TTTTCCCCCCCCCCCCCTCCCCGAACTGTTTCATTTTGACAGACTGTTATTTGTCACATCTGAGTGATGAGCACCTTAGAGGAAGGTCTAAAATCCAAACAAACAAAAAGTCTTGAAAGAAATGAGCATCTCAGTAACACATTTTCAACACAGGCTTATAATAAGGTCTCGTCTTTTTAATGTGAACCCCGGATACTGGGTTCTGAACTGTATCTCCGAGACCCATTTGGCAGCTGGGAGGGGGAGAACAGCCTGGCCTCCTCCCGGTTAAACATTTCCAAGGTGTTTCCTGAGGATCCCATTGTAGAAACCCAGCCAAGCCCAGCTCGCAAGCGGGCTGCACTGGGGCCTCCTGCCAGCCTGGGGGGTGACGTTGCAAGAGGAATAGGGTTGTCAGCAAGCCCTGAGGAACCCCCCCGGCCGGGGCAGGGTGCTGATGGCATCCCATACAGGTGCTTGCACTGGTGCTGGGGGGGCGCGCACTTCGGATCGGGGGTGTTGTCAGCACGGGGCTGTGCAGGAGGAGATGCCCTGCCTGAAAGTGCTGTTAGCTGCAGGGAAGCAATGTGTTGTGGTTTTGGGGCAGGGCCCTGGATCTCAGCAGCTTTCACCGCTGCCTTTCCGGGCCCTGAGATGGGCAGGGAGATGGGTGCAAGCTGGGGGGGGCAGGGACACAGTGCAGGCAGGAGTTTTAGTGACTCTGCTCAGGGTCCTCCTGCTGCCAGGGGCTCACTGCGAGGCGCGGGGCTCAGGAAACAGGCCCCAAGTGAGGTAGATCTCCCCTTGCACCTCCCGAGTCCCTCCCGTGTGGGGAGGATTTTCCATTCCTGCAACGGCTGCCCCCCTTTGGTTTTGTGCCCCCACATGGCCTCTTACTTTTTTTTTTTTCTCCTCCATCACTACAAATGGCAGACGTGGATTTGCTGCTTGTGTACTTTCCTCCTGTGCCCATCTGTGACACCCCCTCGGGCTGGGGGAGCAATGTGGTCCCCAGGACCAGCCGCATGGACTGGGCACATCTCCCACCCTGATGGGCCAGTGCGGTTGTGCCTCTTGTGCTGCGCTGGCCAAGGACTGGACTTTCCCTGCTGTGTGTTGTTGCTGTGGGTTTCGCTTCATTGTCCTCCAGCGGTTTTTTCTTGTGAATGGACTGCCCTGTTAATGAAAACCCTCTGGGTGTTTTTCTGTAATAAATTGTGTTGGTCCCAGCCGGGCTCTCTTTTGCCGTTCTCACAATGGGGATTTTGGCTCCCTGGTGCAGCCAGCAAGAGAGTCTGGGTTCCCTGGTGAAGGGGTGGGGGTGACAAAAAGGAAAAGGGCCTTTGGGGATTTGTGGGAATTCAGAAAATGTAATAAAAGCAGCTACCTGGGAACTGGAGACCTCTGGGAGAGGTGGGATTCCAGAGTTGAGAGATGTGCTGTGATACAGCTACCTCCCTCTGCCTCGTGAACAGGCTTTTATTGTAACCTGGGATCGTGATGAAGTCCTGGATAAAAATACAATTTGGCAGAAGATTTTTGTCAACTTGATCTTCTCCCAGCCAACAGGTGGGAGGCAGCAAAAGCTTTTTAGAGGAGATTTATTGCTGCTGAAGTACCGGGTTTATCCGAATAGCGACACTGCAGCTCTGGTGTTAGCTCCTCCCTGCAAGTAAGGAGAACACATGGGTTAAGGGGAAGCAACAAATTCTCCATCCCTCACCAAATATAGCCAAGGAATGTCCATATGCCCTAGGGCAGCATCTCTGCTATGGGTGTTCTTTAAGGGACGGGTGGCCCTCAGCAGAGAGCGTTCTTGTGCAGCCTTGCTTGCTGGAATGCTTTCCCCTCACTCATCCCCGATCCTGCGTGTTCTTCCACCAAATGCCTGGAGGAAAAATCAAATTCCAGCACTGATAAGGCTCATGTGAAAGTCCAGGTGGGCCCACCCAGCCTTGAGAGCTCAGGATGTTCATGCTGAAGCCAAGAGCTGCCTCTGATGTTCATCAAGGCAAAGACTGCCCCGAGCCCTTGACTCGCTCCTGGGGACCAGCGTTGGCACTGGGGCCAAGGACCCAACAGGTCATGGAGAGATACGGTCCAAGGCCGTGGTGGGAGGGAACAGGGAGATTTATGCAGTTGTGTCTGTGATGTCTTGTCATTGGTTTGCTGCAAGCCTGAGTTTTTTTGTTTCTGTTGCCTGTTTTCTGAGGTTTTTCCTTCATCAGGCATCGAAGGACTTTGCAATGAGTGTGCTTTGAAATAAAGAACATGGAGGAGGAGAAAGCGGAGGCAGAGCTGATGGAGAATTATGCTGCCACTCAGCTATTGTCAGCGCAGATGTTCACAAGGTAATCATGGCCTTTGAACAGCAAGAACTGCTTTTCATGACGAATCCAGGATTTAACCCCAAGAACTTGTGGGGCTTCTTGGTGAGGGTGTGACACCCCTGGTGACCAGCTGCGTGACAGGGAGGTCTGGCAGAGGGTGGACTCTGCTCTCCTGGTACACAGGGTAAATCATGACATCTCCCTGCTTCGATTTCCCCATCACTGTATCAGAGATCAGGATGATCCAGAGGTAAAATCAGATCTGGAGGATGACTCTAGCTCCTTGCAGAAGAAAAGCAGAAATCCAGGAGTGCAGTGAAACCCTGTATCTCTGCAGCGATGCCTGCACGCCCAGCAGCAGGTCCCGGTGTGTAGGGGCCATGCAAATACAGGGCTGTCCCGACAGCCCCGTGGTGTTGGCCGTGAGGGGTCCCAGGCTGTGCTGGCAGGGACTCCACCTTGTCCCTGCAGTGCATTTTGCTTTATGTCCTTTCTGGAGTGCAGAGTAGGGGCCAACCAATGTGAGCAGGGACCTGCAGCCATCCCAGGAGGCTAAAATGTCAGGACAGGGAACCTGGTGACAGGGTGACAGAAACACCCGGAGTTGGAAGAATAGATAAGAGGACCTGCCGGCAAGAGAACAAGCAAAGGGCACTTGCTATCAGTGCTAGCGGGGCCGTGCCAGGATTTGAACAGCCTGACCATCTCGTTCCTTCGACACCGCTATTTATAGCAGTGTTCGTTGATGCCTCTGTCACCGGAGCCTAAAATGGTTCCCCTGTGTGCACCCGGGGCGGCTGGGCTCGCTCATCCTGCGCTGGGGAGGCCACCAACGAAGCAGTGACTCAATGGAGCGTGTGTGAAGCTGCTCATCGCCCCGCTGACGGAGGAAGCCGACGTCTCCCTCTGCCAAGAGGCAGCTCCACGCTGGGCCAGCTCCTTGGAAGATGCACCAGACGGTTTCTGTTTAAGGCCTGGCCTCTCGCCAGAAAGAGTCAGTGGGGTAAATAGACCCACCTTCCACCTCGCCGCTTCTTTCCCCCCCAGAACTGGGGCTTGTCTGGCTCTGTCTGGGAGCCAGCAGTTTCCACAGCTTGATGCTGGTCCTTAAGGTAGCTGTGGGGATAGCTCTGTGTGTTACCCACGCTGGTGGAAATAACCCTTCGGTTACTGGGCTGGAGCAAAATGCAAGAGGGCAAAGATCTTGTAACTGCAGAGCAAATACACCCCATTCCCTGCCTGGAGACTTGCCTTTTAAAAAACTGCTTCGTTTTCCCAGTTCTGCCCAGACCAGTGAGTGATGGAGGTGGAGATCAATCTGTCCTGGTGTTTTCCCATTCCTGCAGCGAAAGCTTCGTTACCAGGGCTGCACTTCAAAGCTTCGCTGCCAGCGCTGCGCTGGATAGGACTGTGCACATAATCCCACCGAGGAGGAGAGGAGGGGGTCTCCGCAGCCCTGGGGCTACAGATGCCAGGCAAGTATGGCTGCACTCTCCAGGGAGCGATGGCCAGCCCCACGCTGCTCTGACACAACCAGTGCCAAATTTTCTGGTCGAATGACTTGAGGTGGGCATTAGTGTTTAAAAAAAAATATATAGGAATAAAATCCTCAGGGATTGCATCCAGCAGTCCTGCACACAGGCTGAGACTTCCACTTGTTTTCTCTTAGGGCAAATTGCACGGTTATCCCTTCGCTTTGTAGCAAAAAGGGGATGCAGAGCCCAGGACTGGCTCTGAATTTTTAAGCTTTACTCAGTGGGAGCTCACGTCCCTCCGGCCAGCGGTACCCCTGAGCAGCTGGGACCAGCCCACGCTCGTGCTGTGGCTGTGTCCTTGTCACCGTGGCCGTCAGCAGGGAGCAGGGACCAGCAGTTTCCTCCTCTAGATAAAGCAAACCCGGTCAGGGCCGTGCAAGTTGGCATCTGCAGGCAGCGGAGTTGAGACCGTCCCCTGCGAAACGGGAACCGCTTCCCATCACAGCCGCCAGGACAAGCGCTGTCAGAGGTGGGAAAGCCCTGAGAGAGGACCAGCAAAGTCTTTATCTGGAGAATCCTTGTCAGAGGGGAGAATAAATGAGGGAAAACACGTTCTGATTGCCCTGTGAGGAAAACCCTGCTCCGCTGGCGCTTGCTTTTGGGGCTGCATCTGTCGGGAATTTGTGCACGGGTGGCAGCGGTCGCATGCACTGGGAATTCACCCCCGTCCTGGCAGGGATGTGTTTACCCCGAGGTTGGGCCCATTTCTGCCACCACAGCCGTGGGGACACGGACGGGGACGGTTGTGGTGCCGAGCGGGTGCC